CAAAATTGGACAACACAAATTGTTTTTGCACGAAATCAATTTGAAAACACGATTAAGAGGCATCGCAAGAATGAAATGGGGACAACTCATATCGAGTTATACTTATTATAAAAACCCAGGTTGTTTGTGTGTGTGTGTGTGTTCGTTTACATATGGAATCGGATTTCCTACATTTTCAACCGATTTCAAATAAAACTTCACTTTTTTTTGGCAGGTAGTGTTTCTTATTGTTTTGCACACTTTTTTCTTTATTTTTACATTCAGAATGCTTTAAAAATTCCATTTACAAGACAATTGTTTATAAAAAATTTTATTCAATCGGTAGACTCATAACGATTGAAAACAATGTTTTTGTTTGAGTTTGGGTTTGACCAATTCGTAAAAAAAAAAAAAAAAAAAAAAACTAATTAAGACATGCGTGTCCGTCAACCTTAAACAATAATCTTTGTCAATTTTATTTTTCAGTCTTTATGGTGGTCGATACTTGATCTATCTCTTACTGTTACATCCCCGGGCAACGCCGGGCTCTATTGCTAGTATATCATATTCCTAAGCGTCGAACAGACAAAGAATATGTACAAAAGTATTTATTTTGTATAAAAACGGAAAGGTGGCATAAGACCAAAGGTGGCAATGGGGAAAGGATAGTCATCTTCTGTCTTATAATTAAAAGTAGCTAGTCACAATCACTGACCCGAACTTACTACAATATTACTTACTCCAAAACAATATATTCTTACATACTATTCTTACTATATAATACAGCATAATACCTCAGAATATCTATGACATCCTAACTAGTCCCCAATGTACAATTTTTGTTTTGTGACGTCAACGAAGACTCGTTGCTACTTTTGTAATGCCAACGAATACTCGTTGTCACTTTCGTAATGCTCGTTGTATTAGAGACTTTGTAATCGCAGATACAACTATAGTAACGCTGCTGAACAATACTAGTGTCATACGCTTTCAAATAACACTTGCACTAATAGTACTTGCTCTATAATACTCGCTCGAATAGTAGACACTGGATAGTAATCTGTACAGTGACACGAATAGATAATAGTATAGTTAATAGTATAGAGAATAGCGAATCGTATAATAATAGAGGATAGAGTAGAAATAGTGATCGATTAGACGCCATGTTAATTCCCATATCTGCGTTTCCTTAGCCATCACTTGTTCTATTTATTCATTATTATTAAATTACGAGTATCATAATTTCTGTTTCAAAGATACATAATAGTATTCAACTAATAGATAAGAAAAGGACAAATGAAAAAAATATCGAAAAATGTTGTTAAAAACGATTTGGATTATAACTGATAGAGAAAATGTTGTGATGTCAGCGATCACTCGTTGACACTTTTATAACGTCAACGAACACTTGTCACTTGCTTGTCTCAGACGCCTTCTAACTAATTGTACTTGCTCGATAATACTGGTTCGAATACTAATCCGTATAGTGATCAGTATAGAGAAATAGTACAGTGAATAGTATAAAGAATAGCGATCCCTATAGTAATAGATGATAGAGTAGAAATGAGATCAGTTAGACATACGCTACTTCCCATATGTGCGTTTCTTCTATGGTCACGTGGTTTATTTAATTCAATAATGGGATCGCCTGCGTCTGCTCTCTAGCGATCTATGTTCAAACTCAAGTCACTTTATTTCTATATAACAGTTTGTTAGGGAAGAGAAAGTAAACACCATGTAAGAACATTTCGCGTAGGATCGGATTTGTCTTTAACCTGCGAAAGAGAAGGCTGCAACCCAAGGACGTACACCGAATCTGACAACCACAAATCTGACAAATTCGCTTCCACCAGCGCACTAGGGGATACATAGAGAATCCGGATCCAGGTGCGAAACTACGCCCGAAACCGGCGGCGGAAACGACAGTCCCAACAGCTGGTAGATAGAATGGAGCTGAAGGTGACTTTTGTCCTGGTGTTTTCAAAGGACACATACTGTTTGGTTCTTTCTTCTACCCCTACCAACGACACTACATTCCTCTTCTTACTTTTACCTAAACGAACTTGAGAATGGGCTCGAATTGGGGGAAAGTGTGGGACACGACACAACCGGAGGTTTGTTCGCACTGGTCCTAATTGCTGACAGGCCCATTACAAGTGCCTCGGAACTATCAGTACCAGACAGAGAGGATTTGGGGTCGCCTACAGCCGGAACACTAAAGGCATTATTCTCTGGATAAGAAAAGGAGAGATTACATGTCTGTCCACACTTCCAATAAGAATGTTGGGGATAGAACCTAGGATTTAGTCATACTATAGGTAGGTGCTCTCCTATCACCAAAGGAGGGATATCATATACTGTTACTGGGTCGTGCGCCAAACCTCACCAGTGATCGGATCACTGTGTCTCTCGTGGGCGATAAATTTTGCGCGTATGTTTGTCCACCACGAAAAATGACACCATTTCTTACGAACTTCGGTAATTCTTAGGTGTTTTCTAAAAATCCATCTTTTTTATAAGA